GACAGACAAAATTAATGAACTATGCAGAAATGGCAAAACTCACAAGAAGAATAAGAAACTAAGAAGAAGGAACTTTCAATAAAGAATGGGGGAAATTTGTGGACTATCTGAGAAACTATTGCAAACAGTTAAACACAGTTAGCAGGATTAATTTAAAATCAAGCAGTTGAAAGGTTAACTTAAAGAAAAAAATCAGAGAGTAACTAATGAAAAGAAATTAGGGGGTAGATGCAGTTTTGAAAATGATTCTGTAAGAAACCACGGAAGATGGGGAGGGAAGTCAAAATAAGTATGTATTATTCAATGTATGATTATTGTTAAATTTAACATTAATTTTTAAAATAAAATAAAAATAAAAGAAAAATTGTATATATAAAAAAGAAATTAGGGAGAGGGATAGAGATTTATTATGCATCATGAGCTATGTCTCTACCTAACCCATACCTGATGTCACATATGATGTCAGGTGGGGTGTGGTTTGGGGAAACTGGCCTCATAGGCCAAAGTTGAACCCCTGACAGGCGAAGTCTGGCCTGTGGAACCAGAGGTTCTCCACCCCAAATATCTGAAAGACTGCCTCCTTCCCTACAGACCCTCCTGGGTGTTCATAGCAGCAGGAGGGAGCCTTCTTTATAGTTCCTCAGAAGCGCAGGGTGGTGGTGACCCAGGAGAAGGCATTCTCTGTGGCAGCCTCTAAGTTGTGGAGTTCTTTCTGCACAGGTTTGCAAGCCCACATTCTCACTTGAATCTTCAAATATTCGAATAAAAGACCCGGAGAGGGTTGTAGTCAGAAACAAGATCCCTGCTTGCGTGCATGCAAGAGCCTACAATTGTCGAAGACCCTTTAAGACTTTCTGGCGGGCATACAGAGATTAGGGGGCAGGTGGGAAGAGACTGAGAAACACTAGCAGATATGATCCTAGCTGCACTCTAGAAATTCCATTCACACATGGAAAACAGGGTTACTGTTTATTAGTCCATCTCATCCCAGATGGTCCATTCTGACTGGCATCATCTTACCAGAGTCTCAGGTGGAGGAGAAGCTTTTTCCTGCCCTGTTTCCTGAAATTATTTTAACCAGAGACACTGCAGATTGAACCTGAGACCTTTTGCCTTCAAAGCACATGTTCTACTGCTGAGTTGTGGGCCCTCCATAATGCTAAGAGCAGCGTAATTTATGACAGAGACACACAAGACAAGGCTTGCTGCATCTAGCCCACCCAAACTGCAGCTGTGTGCTGGTGACTCACCTACAAGCTGGTTGTTCTGGAGAAAAACAGGGAGCAAGTTTTCATGGAGGAAATTTGAGTGGGCTGCATCCACACTGCCCCATGGATCTTATGCACCTCACTCACTATATAGAGCGTTCTCCAGCCTGGGGCCCTCCAGATGTTTTGGACAACAACTTCCACCATACCTGACCATAGCCCATGTTGACTGGGGCTGAAGGGAAATGGAATACAAAATGCGCTAGTTTGGGGAAGGCTGCTTTAGAAGATTCCCTTCCTGTCTACCTGTTCCTAATGAACATGAATATCAAGACAGTGCAGAGTGTAAAGCATTCAGATGGTGGAGATGCTCACAGGGCCTGTGTTTCTTAACTCTTAAATGCTATGCTTTTTAATTGTCTGTTTAACTGTATATTTTAATTAAGGATGTTTTTGTTGGAAGTATTGGAATTTAACTGAGCTTGCATTGCAGGCTGCTTGTACCTAGATGGAAAAGGGAGATAGAGAGGAATCCTCTATTCTTCCTAGACTGCCTTTTCTTGTGGTGACCTCGTTGATCTTCCTTCAGTGTTAGACTGTTACTCTCAGGGTTGCTGACCACATTTCCTTCTTCCTGCTTCTCCATCCTTCCCTTGAGAGAGGAAACATCTTTGTGTTTCTCCCCTGTTGAGATGAAAGAGCAAACATGGCTATTTGCATCTCCACCTTGGGTAGACATAACTGGGATATTTCCTATGAAGTGTGTACTTCCTGCAATAAACACAGCATTCTTCTTTTCCTAAATGCATTTTTGTATGTGACTATATCCAGGGTAAAGTGTGATCCTCCAACAGGGATCCAGTGTTTTCTTCAGCTTCTGCGAGTGTGATAAATCCAGATACCAATGGAATTGCTGTTGTATATTTTAATTATGTGCTGATTTTATTTTTTTTACCTGTAAACTGCAGAGAAGACATTTTGGCATATGAGTGGTATATAGAGTAATTAATTAATAATAAGCAGCCCCTGTGAGAGATATGGCCTTGGGGTGAGGGGATGGTCTTGTGAAGGCCACATACAGACATTTGGGGGGCCACACTGGGCCATTCGGCCTGAGGTTCCCCACCACTAGTATATCACCAATTTGTTCAGTTTGGTTGTATATTTTCATTTGTTGTTCATGACTACTTTTGTTATGTTGTAATTACGTAATTTTTTTCATGTTGTAAACCACCTTGAGTGTGGTTTGAGCTATGGAAAGTTGGCATGCAAATAATATTATGGATGTGTGCTTTGCCACTCTGAGCTTAGGCTTGATCTCTGCACCATGAATCCATCTATCTGCCTGCCTTTGTAAAAGGTATAAGGCACTGTTGTTGTTTCCAGTATGATTAATCAACCTCTGAACCCAAGCCCAGCTCCAGTCCTTCTGTCGCTAGACACCAGTCTAGACCTCCCCTTATACATGACCATCTAACTGCCATGCTGTTCACCTCTGTCCATTCAGAGCTTGCCTACCACTGGAAAGACTCCAGAGTTCCATCTCTGATGGGATGGAAAGGGGAAGCTTGGGAACTGGCTCTTTTTGAGCATCTAACTAAACACAGCAGCAATGTTAGGGGACAAACTAAACACGGCCATTTTGATAAGGTATGCTCTCCATATATCAACTATGTAAAGAGAAGTGATTTTAATGTAAGACCTCTGTCCATTCTTGCATACCTATGGAGAAGCTATGTCATGGATAGTTGAAACCTTGGTGATGTAGAAAGTGATTCAATTATTTGGCAGTGTCGCCACTCAGGTTTTACCTTCTTATATATATGACTGAAATAAGCACATAGCACTCTAGAGGTCTTGTTGAATTGATCAGTGTTATTTTACTATAAATTTGTTGTTGTTGTTGTTATTTAAAATGGATATGTAAGACCATCTCTCTCTCTCTCTCTCTCTCTGTATGGAGTGTTGCCCCACAAATAGGATGATCGTATTGCTCTAGCATCCTAGAGGGATCTAGTGAGCCCTTAACAACAACAACAACAACAACAACAACAACAACAACAACAACGTACATTTGTTACTCACTTGTTACTGGAAAGGTCTCTAAGCAACTCATACTTTGTAAGACACAGATACATAAGACATGGAGATAGGAGGTATCGCCCTACTAATACTATGGTGGTGTCTTTTAAGTATGCCAGGAGCCAAAGGTGTTGTAAACAGGTGTAAGAATTCAAAACCAAAAGCTGAAGTCTTCCTGAAACTTGCAGTCACGGTCAGAGGTGAAAAATCTCATTCTTAGAGCTTTTCAATCTGCCACCTAGCTTTAATAAAGCCTGGGAGATCTCGTTCTCTTGCCCAATTCTTGCCTTTGCTCTTTGGGTGGTCCATAAAAGAACAAAGCTTCTTGGCACAGGTTGGTAATGAACAAAACAAAAATAGAAATGGGTGTGTTTGTGTCAGGCTCCTTTAAAAACAAATCAGGAGCTTTTAAGTGGAAGAATCAGGAGTCTGATCTCCGCTAAACCAATGAATAATGAGGAAGAAGAGATAGAATGTAAGAGTTGGTGTTTGATGCACTCATGAGCTCCAGACTCTGAGAAAGTGTTGTTCACCTGGGCTAACCTGATCCTTGCATTTGGCTTGGCTTCAACAGGGTAGTTTAGCAGGTAGAAAAGTAGTCAGTGGTGTAAAGTCTTTGTTGTTATGAGACAAAATAGCATATCTTCCTCCACCTGGTGGTTAAGAAGTACTATCCAGATATGTGGGTGAAAATTCCCTTACAAATAGCCATTAACGAATGGGAAAAGTCAGCTGGGGGCTGCAGCCAATAGTGGGCAGAGCAGAGCAGATGTTGGGCAGGTTGGAAGCAAAAAGGATGGAGCAAAAGGATTGTAATAGAGTGCCCTCCCTCCCTCCTTCTTCCCTCTTCCTTCTTACATTTGCCGCCCCATCTCCCTTTGTGGCACCTCATCTCTCTCTCTGCTCTGCATATTACATGGAATTCAATGGGTAGAATGTTCACTGCTGTGAGGGAGTACCAACTCTTTCACAAGTGATGTCAGATGATTGGCAGGTGGGTGTGGTTTGGGGGAAATGGCCTCATGCACCAAATTGAAACCCCCTTGGTGGGCCAAGATTGGCCCGTGGACTGAAGGTTGCCCACCCCTGCACTTAAGAGATAGGTAAAGCCAAGAAGTTGTGTAAATAAAATGTGTGACAGAGGTACTGGCCAAATTAGAACAGTCTGTTAAAATTTATGCTAAGCATGCATATGTATTTATTCATCATCAAAGCGATTTCCATCAGGAAAGAGAAACCCTCAGCTCTCTGGTGCTTAAAACCACAAGAACTATGCTAACTAGTTCAATTTATCAGGCACGTTTTAGCTCAGGTATTCCTCTGGTTGCCAATAGACTCTAATATGCATTGAGAAAAAGGGAAAATATTCAGCAAACAGAGTGGTTTCCATGGTGACCACAGGTGGCTTTGAATTTTATGCACTCTCAATGAGCTCACACATTTATGGCTGAATAAATAAAAGGTCAGTCATACTTGATGCCATAGGTAGGCAAATGATATATAAAGGTTATTTTGTGTGTGTTTATGTGATTTCTTTATTTATTTTCTCTTCTTGGAAGCTCCTATTAAGGACAGGAACTTAAAGATAGGCTTAGATCACCTATAATTTTGAAATGGTTTTGCGCAATTACAGATACAGCCAGCGACCAGAAAAGTTGATGTCCTAAGTATGCCTGTGCTGGTGTGATGTTCTACCATAAGACATCAACTGCAGCTCAGTGGTAGAGCACATGTTTTGCAAACACAAGGTACCGGGTTCAATCCCTGGTATCTCCAGGTCCAAAATCCTGAAGAGCCACTGCCAGTTGATTTATACAGTCCTGATCTAGATGGGCCAATAGTCTGGTTTCATGTAAAGCGGCTTATGAACTATAGGAAGTCACCTATATTGATGGTGAATATATCGGTGAATGGACCGGGCCATAGCTTTCCATGGGCCTGAGCTCAAGCTGTGGCATCTCCATATATATATATCCCTGGGTTTTAAGGCTTTTCTGGAGCCCTTGGAAAGCTACTGCTTGTCAGAACTAGAAGGTCAAACTAGATGATGCGTAAGACCATAAGAACTTCTGGATCAGGCCAATGAGCCATCTAGTGCAGCATGCTGATCTCATAGTGGCCATCCAGATGCCTATGGGAAGCTGGCAAACAAGACCCAAACACTCCTGCGGTTTCCAGCAACTGGTAATCAGAAGTATTACTACTTCTGAACATAGAGCAGCCATTGATTGCCTTCTCTTCCATGAATAGGACTAATCTTCTTCTAAGGCCATCCAAGTTGGTGGCCATCACTACCTTTTGTGTGCTGTGTGAAGAAGGCCTTTCTTTGGTCTGTCCTGAATCTTCCAATATTCAGGTTCCTTTGATGTCCCCAAGTTCTAATTTTTATAAGAGAGGGAGAAAAACTTCATGTTCTCCACACCATGCGTTATTTTATAGACATCTACCATGTCACCTCTTGCTTGCCTTTTCTCTACGCTAAAAAGGCCCAAATGTTGCAACCTTTCCCTGTAAGGGAGTTGCTGCATCCCTTCGATCATTTTGATTGCCCTTTTCTGAATCTTTTCCAACACTACAACATCCTTCGTGAGGTGAGGCAACCAGACTCATACTTCTCCCACCTATGTAATGGACTGTGGTTTGGCCCTGTGAAGAAAGACAATTTTGGATAATACACATGCGCGCACGCACACGCACACACACACTTCCTTTTTGCAATAGCCAGCATGTGTCATTGCGTACAAGTTTTTAAAGCTGGCAATTTAGTTAGACCCTTGTATTCAACCTTAGTCTTTAGCTGCACCAAAGTATGAGAATAGGTGTCACACTGTCTCTAATATTATCTGCTTCAGATGCACTTCTAGAAAATTGCCGTGAAATTTGAATATATCGAAGGAGGAGAGGGAGGAGGGAAAATATTTTCAAAAATCTGTGCTTGTAATTTTTATTTTTATTATTTTTTTTAAAAAAACAGAGCAAGACAAGACAAGCAAAACCTCCCATAGTATTTTTTTGAAAGGCTTAGTTAAGGTCAGTTGGAAGTGAAAGATATTAACACTCCACTGACAAATGTATTGTTGTTCCTTTGAATGGATGATGAAACCGTCTCGTCTACTGGGTTGTTAAAAATTTATTAAGCAGCTCAAACGCCTGTTGACTGGAGATGAAATATACATTGTAGTAGGCGCAGTTCAGTCTTTGGATGACACAATTGCACCTAACAATGTGCTGAGGAAACACTTCCCCCCACTCCCATAGGTATTTCATAAATAGAAAATCCTGCTTTTATTATGAAGTGTTTACCTCTTTTTTAAAGACAAAAACCCCACCAGTCTTCAGTATCAATTTGCAAACCACACACACGCAAACACACACAAAATGTAAATGTTATTGGTGGGCATCCTTGAGGAATTTGATCATTTTGAATTACAGAATGAACTGACCTGATCCACACCAACCATTCTAATGTGTACATTGGAACTTTGACTTCATTCCTAACCCCACTTACCTGGGAGTAAACCCTATTGAATTCAACAGGACTTATTTGCAAGGAGACATGGCCAGAACTCATCTAGCTTTCACACTTTCCAAATGCTCTAGTGTAAATCTCAACTCAAAAGATAAGTGAAATGTCTGAGGCCCTTCTTCGTGTAACCCCTCCTTGGAAAATCTGGAGGGTGGCAACATGAGAACAGGCCTTTTCTGTGGTGGCTCCTCACTTAATGAATGCTCTCCTTGGGGGGGAGGGAGGGCTCACCGGGCACCATCATTACATATCTTTAAGTGCTAGGCAAAAAAATGCCTTTATAATCAGGTTTTAATATATGTACGTATGTGTTTGGTTTTTGCTTAAAATATTGTAAGTTGCTTTGTGTTGCCGGACAAAAAAGTGACTAATAAATTCAATAAATAATAATAATTTAAGGAAAAAATCATGTAGAAATATGCAGCTTGAGAGAGAATAAATGGGGGAGGGGATATGTATTTAAATACATAGGATTATATCCAGTGCTAGAACTACTCAAAGTAAACATGGTGAAGTTAATGAGCATGACTTAGATTCATTAATTCCAGTGGGTCTACTCTGAGTGGAACTTCATTGGAGACGATCCATATTTAAATGTGAATCTTCATGCAACTCTTTTTTAAATGCTCAGAAGAATGCTGACATGGCAGTTATAGATGGATGGATGGATGGATGGAAGGAGACATGGGTCAGAAACAGACTAGGTATTATCTAAGCAGACATTACAGGGGCTCTGGAAGCCATAACTCATGCCCCCATTCTTGCTGCCATGCTCTTCAAAAGCAGTTCTATGTGCATACTGATTTGCATGCTTAAAACTCCTCCATTTGAGGGGGTTCCTTATGTGAATCAGGTATATGTATGTAGAGCACCTTCCCATATGCTTCAAATGTGCAGATGGTCCTGAGTGCATCAGTGGCATGGAGCAGGCTTAGTCTGCACTGCTCTACAAAATTCTATCAATAGATGGGAGGTCACTCAAAGCCCCCTAGTGACTGCTGGGGAAAAAGACATACACCTGTCATTTTGGGTGGGAAAAACCAATTTCCCAGTTTCATCCACAAGGTAGTTGAAGAGGTTTGAATGAAACTTCATTTTAGATGGTATGCACACATACAACCATCCACCCCGAGTCACCTCTGGTCCAACGTGCTTTGGAAATACAAAAACCTTCAAGACCTCTTTGGACAGCAAGGCAAAAGTGAGATGTTAACAGAATCTGTGACTTTTCTTTTAATCTGGCCTCACTTCTTTCCAGAAATATGCACCCATACATACACGCTTCCTGTCTCTAGCCTTTAATGTCTTCCTGATTTCTGATGCATCAGGGGGAGAAATAAAGGTAAATAATTAAATGTTGGCTGCAATATGAATTTGTAGAGCTGAAAAGAGAGCAAATTCAGGCACTGGATGGGCCTGTCCAACATTGTCCCATTGCTGGGTGTGTTTTAAGGATAACAACAACAGCAACAACAATTTATTTATACCCACCCATCTGGCTGGGTTTCCCCAATGCAATAAAACATCAAACATTAAAAACTTCCCTAAACAGGGCTGCCTTCAGATGTCTTCTAAAAGTCAGATAGTTGTTTATTTCCTTGACATCTGATGGGAGGGTGTTCCACAGGGAGGGTGCCACTACTGAGAAGGCCCTCTGCCTGGACCTCAGCGTCCGTGCTGAATGATGGGGTGGAGACGCTCCTTCAGGTATACTGGGCCGAGGTCGTTTAGGGCTTTAAAGGTCAGCAAATTCTAAATACAAAAGAGAAAACCATAGCTAACTTTAACATGTGGTCAGCCAGTGGCATGTGTAATGTAAATGGCATTCACAATGGTGGTTTGTGACTAGGGATAGAGGAGGAATTTGCTTCAGCTTGTATTTTCTGAATCAATACGCAATCTGAAACAAAGCTATCCTTCAAAATCCACATTACTCCGAATTTTGGAATGCAGTTTTCTAAGCAAATAATATGTGGGGGGAAAAAGTATATTAGGGGAAAGGTGCCATAAAAATGCATATCTATTAATAGAAATAACACAAAAATTATCAGGGGAAATTGCTCACAAAAGCATGTGTATTCCTGAAAATTGTGTGCAAAAATGGGTGTCACGCAAGAAATGCAGACTAAAAAGCTGGTGAATTTTCTTGAGGGTGTTAAGAAAATAATAATTCAGAAAGTAATGCAGAGATGTGAAGAACCAAATTTAGGATTGCAGAAATGAGAACGGGTGAGCTATCAATTGTCTCACTGAAACCAACAGATTTATCTATCTCTGCTTGTGGCATTCTGGGAAAGTGTAGGATATATTGGCTATAGCACAGAAATCCCTGTCTCATACTTGGAAGGGGAGGGGAGAGAAGGAGAGGAAGAAGAGGAAGAGGAAGAAGCATTTCCTTTGGCCTTCCAAACTCCTTCTCATCTTCCAAGTCCCCTCTGAATCAAAAGCTGGCTCAATCCAGAGTTAGCCGTGATAAAGAAAAGTTAACATCTGTTCTGTCTTCCAGCAACAAGGATTAGCTGTTTACTTTTGCTGTCAAAAGCGGGGCAGCATCGGAAGTGACTGCAAAGAATTTTTCAAAGCCACTCCATTATCTGCTGTTCAGGTCAAGCCAGCTACCACTTCTGAGTAATTTATAAAGTGCTATGCTCGGAGGTATTGCACAATCTCATTATCATTAGGAGGGCTCTTTTTTTGCATATTTAACTACAGTTTTTAATTAGATGGTATTTTATTATTCATGCACATAATTTGACTCCAACTCTAGCACTTTCGCTTGTAAAAGGAAATGCATTTGAATTTGGGGTTTGAGGCTTGCTGGGTGCTTTTGGTTGGCAAAAAAAGCAGGGATGGAATGGTGCGAGCCTGCAGTCGGTAATGGCTTTCTTTTAATTTAGCTAATAGCTATCATGTTATGTACCTTTATAAATTTGTTAAATTCATAGCGCTGGGAGTTGTCTCTCAATGCGGTAACAGTAAGTAGTTTGCTGTGTTTGGATTTCACATACAAACTGTTTGCACAGGCTCCTTGATGTATTATTAAAATTGGTAATGGACTCCCGGGACGTCATCTCGTTATATGCCTTCATTTGCAGAATAAACCATGCGTTGTTTTCATCTTTACTCATGATTGTTAATGGCATTGGTGATGAGAGGGGTGGGTGTTTTTTTCCCTCCCCCCCTTCCACTGCCTTTATCAGCTGTGCTTTATTATGCAGGCAAAATAGCCAAGCTGCTGATTTTGTTTAAG